TTGTAGTCGGAGCACTCATAGGTCCACAAAAACGAACAAAATTTGCCAGCGGCACCCAAGGTGAATCATCAATTGAAGCGACTTGGTGTGGATGATAACGGAACGAAACCTGATAAGAAAAACTGAAATTCCTCGACCCATCAACCGTAAGATTTGGGCAATCACACAAACCCAAAAGACCGTTTAATTGAAACTGCGACACTGATCTAGTAAGCCAATCTGAAGAATCTTCACTGATTAGTTTTCTGTCTGCCTGCTCGCTTGACCTGAGGGAGCAAAACGTTTCCCGGTTGAAAGAAATACCCATTGTTTACCAAGCCTGTCTAAAACAGTGCCTAAATAAAGATTAATCACACCGCCTCTCATCCGCTCTTGGCTTTCAACCGCGGATCGGAAAGGTTTGGGTTCGAAACTTCTCGTAGACTCATGAGATGGGCACTACTGATGATTCCCAACAGGGAAGAATCGACGATTCTCTGGTGTTATCGCGCTGACTGGCTTTACTTACAATCCATCCACCGACCCTCCTCACACGAGTATCAGATGTACACAAACGCAATGGCTTCAAGCGCTCATATTTTAAGTCAGCGGATTGAATCCATCCACCGACCCTCCTCACACGAGTATCAGATGTACACAAACGCAATGGCTTCAAGCGCTCATATTTTAAGTCAGCGGATGGAATGAATCCATCCCGCATCTTGATAGCTCTCACTGCCTTGTTTGAATTTGTCAAACATCAAAACGATGTCCCGTAATGCCGTATCGGATAGAAAAAACTGAGTTTTCTACGTTGGACAGGGGTCTAGGCGGATTAAACTATAGAATCTGCAAACTGACAAGGTGGATATGTATGTGGCACGCGCCCATAAAGTTGGCCGATTGTTGGAAAACTGAAAATGGTCGTGTCACCTAGCTGTCACAAGTAACGCTTGTGACAGACAACCAGATTGTTGGCCGAAAAAGACTCATCGAATGCCACGGCGAAGAAACTGATCTGCAGACCGAAGTGCGATCAAGACAAAACCAAGAGGAACAATGTGGCACACCGATTCAGCTGCAACAAATTCTACGTTGGACAAACCGCTAGGAATTTACGCACACAAACAAAGGAACACAACGCGGCTGTCAGGAGACATGACCCCTTATCCTTGATATCCATACAAGAAGACTAAGAAGGTCACGTAGTCAACATGAAAACGTGAGAATTTTGGCATACGGAGACACGACGTACCGAAGGGAATTTCTGAAGGCATGATATTCCACGGCCGATTCGATCAACTAATGCATTAAACTGGAACAAGTTACGCACCGCTAGGTGCAAAGGGCCAACTCTTTCACCGGAATACTCAAGAAGAGCCAATATCGGATAATGCATTAAACTGGAACAAGTTACGCACCGCTAGGTGCAAAGGGCCAACTCTTTCACCGGAATACTCAAGAAGAGCCAAATATCGGATTCAAGGAAGCAGGAACTGCTTGCAATTACGAGCCGGAACCCAGAGAGGTTAACGGCTGTGGTCACTCCAGCATCGATCAGAGCACGAGGGCAGGGGAGGCCAGGCTCAAAGGTCACGTGGTCATCAATCAGTACACAGGATCACTGAACAACCAATTGAACCGACGGGCCGAACAACCAATCGTGATCGAAGGTCAACCCCGTTTAGCAGCATTTCTATTAACGCACCCACGTAACACTACCCAACGTACAACCACCAACCCATCGGTACGCACCGCTACGCTCTCTAACAACGCACCGATGATATCACCTTGATTGGTGATGAAACGTTTGCAATCGAATTGCCCAGTTCAGCGAACAATTCATAAGTAAGCCTGTCACAGTGAGGAGTTACGGAGCAAAAACCACGTGACTAGAATTCGAATTCACTACTCACCAGGTGGGGACTTTCAACGACCTAGTGGCTTTCCAATGTCCTGCGGGCGGCTACTATACCTTGGGGTTTTGGTTACTTGTAACCTCAGTTCACCTAGGGAGGTAAGGCTAACTGAAGCGATACTCTCTAAACAAATGACACTTGTTCTTGTTTCTGCAACTCTACCCTGACTCAGATCGCACGGACTATTTTTCCTGATACCCTTGTTTTGAGTTGAATTGTCCGGAAGTATCGTGTACGAACATTGTCTTTCCGGGAGTGGGGAACAGACAGATTTGGATCATCTTGTAACCTGACCACGTGTTATTCAGGCACGAATCTTGGTGAGAAAATGTTATTCCCGGATGTTTTGTTCTTCGAGAGAGATACCTACAAGCAAAAGTAACATCTCGGTTTGTTTCGGTTGTTTTAGAATAAAACAGATTCAGGAAATGAAAAAAAACGAGATAATTCTTTCAACTCTTGTGAATGTTTGCGTGTAGATGCTGGCTGTCTAACGAGATCTACGGTTTGATGTTCTGTGAGCGAGATTTATCAAAAGGGTCCAAGATAGTCCACCGCACATCCCTCGCTTGGACAATAATGCGACCTTTTAGTTGGCAGCTGAATTTACTTTGGTTTGGCCGATTAGCAGTTCAACTAATGTTACATGCCATATGTTATGGTGCTGACTGGTTTTTTGGATGGCAGACGGAGGTAACTGAGGAAATTTTGGAGCGTGAAACACCTGTCGCAATGAGCGTTTATAGCAACTCAGATCAGAGGCCAGATCGTTTTCTTTCCGACTGCTGTGTGCGAGGTCGCGCTTTCGAAAACATTGATTCACCTGATATACGAACTGCAGGCGCAACCTTGATACAGAAAAGTAGATTAAAGTTTTGCGATTTCTGAAAAAAATGGGGATACTGGTAGGATGAAAGCTGCTCCTAAGTGACCCCTCACATGAAATCTGACGATCAGTTGCCAAGTCTCATACGCTCGTATTCTCAAGATATCCAACAACCTCGTTTTTCCGCAAGCCTCCAACTTTGGACTAGCCGTTCACAAAAGTTTTTGGAAAGTTGCGGATCTGACATCTTTGTTTTGATATTTTGTAGAGGCTTTAGAAAATCCTAAATTTGGAGACCAGGCTTTGTCTGTCGGATAGCTTGTAGTTGGCATCTGCCCAAACAATGTTTTGTTATTGGCCCGGAGTTAGGCCGGACTGGGGATTAGATTTCAAGCTCAGTGTGTATCACACCTGTAGCTTCCTAACGGCACAGAGCTTTTACAGAAATTATTGGAATGCTGTTAGCCTATATGCATCTCAACTGACTATAAGTAATTCAATTCAAAGTTTTTAACCGTTCGGGGCTGAAGAGCAGTGTTCAGATTACTGACCAAACAATTACGGGTTCGTGAGATGCGCACTGCTGTTCACTCGCAATGAGGATAAAACTAATCTGCAGCGCTTCTCGGGTTTGGGCTCGAGACGACCCAGTGTTCAAGGGGTGGACATATTTTCCGGAAACTTGTGGTTCAAACCCAACCTGTGCTTCTGGACTGTTGCTACCTAGACTTGGGAAAACAGGAGATAACTCAACCTTCCTAATTCCTTCGGATGGCATGGTTGCTAGACCACAAACGTGAGTTTCAACTCAGGGATTATTAGTTTATCGTTTTTGTTGGGACCAGACTGACCGATACAATTTGGCAAGCGACACAAGAGCAGGATCGTGTTACTGGAACGAAAATGATCTATTCTGGACTACTCTGGTTTGTTCTGCCTTGGACGTCTGTAAATTTCCCAAGTCATCCCGTCTTAATCTAGCTCAGTACATTGGCATCAATTAATTAATGGTTAATTGATGATTAATTAATTAATTGATTAATTAATGATCAATTGCCCTGGTCTATTGTAGTTACGATTAATGGATAGACTTCAGAAGTGGCCTGACTTCCTAGTTTATTTTCTCAAAACCTTCCACAAGTTACGTCATTAACCCACCCGACTACATTCTCAAAGAATTCCGTCCTGGGTGTGTTAAGCCTATCTGTGTTAAAAAGTAGAGCAGCAATATAAAGCGGTTTCTTAAGAAATTCAGAGGTCATACTCGCAACCTTCTGGTTACCAGTTTGAACACCAATGAGTGCCTTACCAGCGATGTGATTAGATCACACTTAGACTCATCTGTCAATCAAGGAAGCCAGATCAAATGGTCACGAGTTGACCACCATTTGGAATGACGACTTCTCAAGCGGAAGTTCCATTCATGTCGTGGATAACGCGGTCGAAACTCGTCTGTATATGCTTGCACGTCTATCACATGCTTTACGTGTGCCTCTCTCTCTCTCTCTCTCCTTATTGCACGTACAACAGACGAGCTACCACGAGCCCCGGACAGGAAAGAGTAGCCCGCTTGTACACCCCACCGCTGACTGACCTTGACCTAACTTGGTACCCGCCCCCCGACTTTCGGTTTCGGATGAATACATGCGTGTTGTTGCCACGCTCCGGTCTTCTTTCCTGTGTCACTCGACCTGTGCGAATGTGTGCTGTGCGTCGATTCAGTAATACCAATCTCTATATCTGTGCATTTCAGAACCGACGTGTGCCGTCGCTACATCCTCTCGAACGCCGAAAGCCGCTGACGTCCCACCCTGCACGTGAAATTGTTCCATCTCTGAGCTAAATAGAGATTCTTGGTCATTTTAAAACAGTCAAGTTGGTGGTGTGTGTGTGTGTGTGAGGTGATCACACTGTTGATCCGACACTCGTCGCCGGACCGTAAGGTTTGTGCTTGAAACTACCTGAAGTCTGGCGAGGTGTTTATATCACGGATCATTCCCAGTAAGGATAAAACGTTTGTAGAATACTGCTCACTTTTTCAGCATGGACTAGTTTCATTGACACGGAGAACTCTCCGTAAAATTCCCTCCACTACAATCGATAAATGCATATGTTACTCAGCAACTAAACTGCATCCACAATCGTGCACTTTAAAAAGTCGCATTGGAGAAAGTATGCATAATACACACTCAAAAAACGCCTTCAGTACAAATAACACCCGTATATTATCCGTTGTTTTTGTAATTGAAAATATACATGTATAGTTTTAAAATTCATCACACCTCAGCTTTCATATCGACCATCCGATAAATATGTGATCGTATTGGATATGCCACGAGATGTTTCTCCCAACATGGAGTGATCACGTGAACAAAACTTCGACGAAACTTGGCTCCCATACAGCAATAAATCACGAAATTGATGCTCGAGTTTAGAACTACAAGGAAATTTCGCACTTCTGACAATATGCACCAACCAGCGACGGGTTGAACTTGGGGTGTGATACCGAAATAGATATTGTAAACCATTGCTGGAAGTTGACAGAATACAAAAACTCCGACAACCACAACCACCATGCGGGTTACGTTTCTTTCGGTTTTTGCGGCACGCCTAGACGTCCCTCTCCAATGTTGCACGGCGGATGAACTAGCTTGACTCGGGTTACGTTGCACAGTCCAATGGTTATTGGATAACTTTGGATAAACTCGAGCCATGTGCTGATGACAAAATTTCAAACAGCCGCGACGCTCAACGGATTCATGATTTTCGTCCAAAACAACTGGACCGGTTGCCTGATCACCGAACGACGAACTACAGGGAGCTTGACAATAACATGTGGCCGGATACACCGTTCGAAAGACGTCCGATCTTCGAAGAGCTTGCATCAGTTTCACATTCATTACTGTGAGTGCGACAACAGGTAAGAGAAACATGAAAAGGATGTAGCCCCATGTGTAGTAGACCACGCGGAAAGTGGTGTGCCATAGACAGGTGACGCTAGACACTGCGACATCACAATTGGAACTGGAGCCAAGTGTTCCAGCCACACTGTCTCTGAAGTAGGACAATTCGAACCATCGTGGTAGGTTGTAAACAGCAGCGCAGAGGACACAGCACAGTGTGGCCATACGAGCTCGTGGAATGCTGGAAAGTATACTCGCATGAAGAGGATAGCAACCGGCGATGAAACGTTCGGCTGTTAGACAAACGGTGATCCATATGGTTGCCATCTGAGCAGTCAGTCCTAACGGATAGAGCAGTTGTTCCATGACAAAAGGTATGGACAATGAACTGTTCGAACAATTATATGCCGAAAGGGTGTCGTTCTCCTGACACTGTGGTTCACCGCTTAGATCACTGCACAGGAACAACCCACCGGCAGCCATTAGAAGAGCAATATCACACGCAGCGAGACTGAGCAAATATAAGGATACTGGAGATCGCATTCGAGGACTTCGAAGAACAATTATCGAGAGGATATTTCCGATGATACCAAGCAGAACAATTATTGGAGAAATATAGTCATTGAGAAATTTGAAACAAAACCTGCAATGGAGTTGGAACAGCGGAGCGGTTGGGACAGATTCAATCGAATTCATTCATTGGCAAATGCAAGCAGCTGTCAGTTGAAAACAATAGAACTTGGAATGGTGATAAACGCATTATACAAATGAGACAAATGTATGAAAAAAACTAGAATAAATTATCTCAGGCCATTCTTTAGGCAAATCAGTAGTGTGGGAGGTGTTTCTGTATACGTGCATTCTTGTATGCATTTTCTGGGGGATGAGATGGACCGAGTGGCTAGAGTGCGAATTTAATGACCGGAAGGTCCGTGGTTCAAACCCGAACTCTGCCTCTGGGCTTCCCCTGTCTAGGCTTGAGCAACCTGGCAGTATGTCAGCCCTCATGCTTCCTTTGGGTGGTATGGCAGCTATGCACCGGAAGGTGAGCAACAATACCTATCCCGCAAAACCCCAAAATTGCAACCAAAATTCTGCCCAGTGGGTTTCAGGCGTGTGCCACGCTACCTAACTGGGAAGTCCTGACTGGCGGGTCAATCGATCGCCACAACCAGGACACTTACTGGGTCGTCGTTCGATGAGTCGGGCACACCAATCACATCGCTCAAGTGTGAACACGTTTCGCGTGTTCAGACGTGATAATTCAGATGCGTCCAACGTGCGTTGGTGGAGTAGTGGTTACACGCTCGCCTCGCATGTCAGATGTCCGGGGTTCAAAAATCCCGGCACGGCCATTGGATATGCACTGGTGATGAGCTCTAATCAGAGCGAAACTCGAGTCCATTGGTTCCCTCTGGTGTAAACCCACCGGAATAAGTAGGCCAGAACAGGAACACGGCCGTTCAAACGAGAGTGGTGTGGCTATGAACAAAAATAAATAATACGTATGCATTTTTTCAGTGATATGATCAAACGCCAGGACACTTCGTGAGAGTAATCCTTTTGGTTTTAGGTGTGTATGTCGCGACTAGTGTTTACCGATAGCTAAAGGTTGTATCTGTGGTCCAGGCGACCACGCAGTTGTTCTACTTTCAGAAGTTCCCAACATTTGTAGACGCAAATATCTAGGCAGATCTCTACAACATAGGAAGGAATTTCAAATACTTTAATCGGATTAAGACACTCTGATGAGGAACAGGTGGTGTGGGCAGTCGAACAGACGACCGATTTTACACAGATGATGGGATCAGTCGCACTCTTTTGGCCGGAATTCGAGACCGATGATCTGTCAAGCGTGCGGATTTGTATGTACGGTTTCTCGCCCTTCCAAAACATTACTGTGAGCCTAGACTTGATTATCAGCTAAGGAGGTATTCCGCTCAGATGCACATTCCTTGTTCACTCAAGTGTAACTAATTCAAACTGTAAACTATACATGCAAAATCATTCAGACAACACAGAGTCTGAAAACATTATTGATTATCATCTTTTGCAGTGTACTGTAAACGTCAGATTCCTTTCCAAAGGTGAATAGCATTTGTGCTGATTCTCCCGGGGGGGGGGGCTTTATCCTTGGTCGGATTCTGGCCGATGCATCTTTGTTGAATTTCGAAATCACACAGTGTTTAGAGAAGAACTGTGAGCGTTTAGATTTTGTTTTCCCTGGTGTCCTGCTGATGAGTAACAGAATGAAAGATCTGTGGCAGTTTTATTGGTTTGTAACGTCAAATTTGGTCGGAATTAGCACAATGATCTTTGTATGTTTTTGCTGCACTTTTCATAAGTTTGCTGAAAACGTGTCGACAGCCTACGATCGGTTTCGCCCATTTTGGGGCTCATCAGGTAAACTCAGTCCCCGAGTTTCCGTCAACCTTATGTTATACTTGAAACCAAATTACACGAAGTTAACGAAATACACTCATTCGCAAACTAGTTTGTTATGAGCTTTGCTCCGTCAAGATTCAAGGCGGTAGGACCACGTGGAAACATGTCCACCTGAGGCGTAGCCGGGCGAGCCGGATTTATTCGATTTTGTTTCCCCGACAATTTTGTACGGCACACTATCCAGTAATTGCACGTCGGAAATAGCTCCAGGATTTGAATGTCTGCCTAACGCATTCGTGGAAAACGATTATCCTAATCGATTCCTGAAGAGAGGAATGGAATAATGGGACACAAACATACTATGGAGATCTGAACACCAGTCTGCTAATACTGGATAGACAGAGCATACGTGGACGGTCTGTGCGGCTGAACTGCAATGCTGCTGTCGTTTTTTAGTAAAAGTTTGCTAACAACCGGTAGATTTATCGCTGGGCAACATTTCGCTTTTGACATAAAATCTTCGTCAGGCCAAGTGACTAGGTTACGAGGTTAGTCGAGATTTAATAAGGCGGAAGGAGAATAAATCAGCTAATCCAAGCTAAATATCAGTTAGGTGTGCTAAGGTGCGCCACCAAGTGTTCAGTTGATGGGAGAGCCTAAATTGATCTGAGGTTGGCTGAGGGTCTAGTGCTTCTGGTTCACGTGATGATTCCGCTTGAACGTCGTTTGCACTCTTCGTCCGTCTGTATGGATGAGCTAGTGCTAAGATAGTTGTGTAAGCAAGAGGGATTCTGTGATCTTTGGTCGGGTTGGGAATTCCATCCCCTGTTTTTTGCTAACCGAAACCACACAGTCACGTGTCAACTCGGTTTATCAAAGGCCGCTCTCCATACGCTCGCCAGTTCCGCACATTCGATTCAATCCAGGCTGTGATGCTTAGAAATTTCCACCGTCTCGGCCACTAGTTAATCCTCAGTTTAGCCCAAACAATCCACACCGCGAACTTGATTACCAAAGTACTTCCGTCTCGCGCACGCATCACTGCATCCTCGGATTTGCGGATGTATGACAACTCGTGGACCCAAACCTCTTGCCACCTCCCGGCGCGACAGCAGAGACAGGCAATCAGGAGAGCACGCTGGAACTTTGAATAAACAGAGCTTCAGCTATTGGACCCATCTTTTACTGAGTAGAGCCATCTATTCGAAATCGTCAACAGAACGACTCATAGCTATCGGTGGCTTTTGATGACGAAAGGCGATTTCGGCGTATGTGTCGGAAGTTCGACAAACGGAGTGGAATGCTCAGACGTTATTAGTAACACGTCAAGTTGAACTTTACTGGTCACCCAGGGCTAAACCAAATGTTGGACAACGAACTTTTGGTTTGAGCATCATGCGCAAAATAGCGTGTTCTTTCCGAAAAACGGCATATACATTCCATAGACAGACCCAGAGAGTATTTTATCTTGGTTAGCTAAAGGGTCACGTGTAAAATGATGGCTCTGTCATTGCATACCCAGAAGCAGTGAGAGGAAACGATAGTAGGTTCACACGTATCTGTCGTATGACAAACAGGCTACCGCGCTTGTATACACCCATAAAACGTTGTAAAACACGGGCCATGCGGGGTTCTCTTAGGCCGCACAACAAAGCGCTTTGCAAATGCTCTCGTATTCCAAGCGTAAAGGTCATTTGATCAGGTGCTCTGTGTGAATCGCGCTCGTGTACCGAAACTGACAAACTGCGTGGGTTGCTTTTCGATGAAAGCATTTTATTCCAAACAATTTCGCGGCTTGTACCAGTGTAAAGTGTATACTACTGATGAGGCATGCGAGTAGGGTTTTCTCTTAAATCCGCTTCGCGCCTCTGGAATAGTGAGATCTATTACGGAATTTATGGAGTCGCTTTGTAGCATTTGAGTAACAGTCAATGAATATCCAGGAAGGTTAAGGAAGACGCGTTCAAGGAGAAGAATGATATTCTGTTTTGTAACCAAGATGAGAGTTTTGCTTCCCTGTCCAGTAGTCTGTAACTGTTCAGTTGGTATTTCTCCAATAAACAACTCCGCAGAGTAGGCCTTCCTTTTCCCCGGTATCTGAGTAGAAGAGATCGATTTTCTCCATCAACTCTACTGAGCAACTCCGGTAGCTTTTACTCCATCGAGCCACAAATCACACACGCTCAGCAGATTGATGGACGATCAAATTGTGAAAGGCTTGAACGTCGCTGCTATATTCGTGAGATGCTTGCTCTAGGTGATTCAAAATCTTTCATCTTGATATTTCAGGACTATCTGATATTCCTGGAGGGAAGAATTTGAAATTCAAAATAACTTTATTTGGTGATACAAGCATCATTCCGAGGAAACTGCTGGTAAAATTCGTAGTTCTAATGACGGTGATCAGACTCAACCGCGGCGAACGAAACTCTTACTTCAACATTTCTCAACGCCAACGTCTTCTTAAAGTTGAACAAGGTGTTACCGACGGCGGAGAGTGTGACTGAGACTCGTAACTTGTAATGAACCCTACATAAATGATCAATCCTGGCTCGGAGACGAAACGTCTCTAAGTCACTTGCTAAGCCCACTGAATAGAACAACATCAACCAGTTCAACAACCTTGCAAGCTCATTCACGTGTCAAAGTGTCCACAACCGTTTTAGGTTTTCCTATCTAAGGTGAATTCCCCGCTTGCATTGTTTTGCTGATCGACAGTCAGTTGTAATTTCCCATAAATGCATAATCAACATGAAAAATATCAACTTGAAATGAATCCTGAAATAGGCAGCAACGTCAGGATTGATTACACCCCATATGCAAAACGTGTGAACGGGAGTCGATTCTATTTAAAAACACAACGTTGTGTCGGTGACAAGTTTGCCGAGTGACCGTAAATATTGCATGTACGATATAAACGATTCAGTGTAACCATATTTTCTAACTGACTATTTTCTGGATGTGAAAGTATCCGGGACCACTGTAGTCGATACAAGCAGCATCATATTGGGGAGACATAGCAGACACCGAGGCATAAAGACACCTATTGCTATATAAATATATCAGGCACCTATGGGGGCATACTACGGTCGGGGATTCTAGATCTTTCCATTCTAATTTCCATGTGGTTTCCACAACTGATGGAAAAGATGAGTGAATTTTGCACAACGTCTTGCTTTCCTTCCAGTATACGAGTTTTGTGCACACCAGGAAGACAGAATCTGATAGAATCTGTAGCGGACCACATTCTCCCTAATGCCTTCTTTTACCGCGAACTCCGGTCTGGATAGCCGATTGATAGTCTGGTGCACTTGGCCAAACCAGAAAAAGTCGCCGAAAGTGATCACTGTCGCGTACAAGCGGTCAAAATCGATACTAAGAATACAACTCATCTGTCAAGGGCGAGTGAAGAACAACCAATGAAATCTGTTTCAACGAAAAACGGTCATTCCATTGGCTGTTATGTAGTCCCGTTACGTNTACGTTCGGAGCTGGTTCTCCTAATAGAATCAAAGGTTGAATATGTGATTGTGCTACAGGTCGCAATTAGTTCCGGACTGCTCTAAAAAATTGATCGATAAGCACACGTTGTATGGAGTCCCAAGAACTGCAAGGGACCTAGGACGACGGGGTTTGGTCAGCCATATTCACTACACACAGGGCAAAAAAAGCCAAAAATTCATACGAAAAACTGTCGCCTTGTGCGCAATTTTTATGCTGAATGGCATGTTTTAGCAACCTTTGGCAACCTCACACTAGGGAAAAGGTTTAATCGGAAGCACTTTAAGCCAACGTACGACCAACTGTGATAAATAGCTGAGGTTGAATCACTTTTGTCACAAAATTTTGCATAGAGCGGTTGAGAAAACCGAAGTCCAACTGCCAACACCGGAAGTGTTATTAACTGCCGCCCTGTTTTTGTGGAGATATCATGAGGTTTCATTCTGTAAAACACCATATAATCCAACTGTTCTTTGCCAAATTCCATCACGCGTGTGGTCACCTTATGAAATAGTTATGGTTTCTAATAGAAAAAGATAGATACTGCGAGTGACATAAACGGAACGGAGTAGTCGGTCAATAGTTTAGGAGTGATT